TGTTAGGTGAAAGTTCAAGTACTGGCAACTTTGCCGAGGTGATCAATTGCTTATTGATTTCCTCTTTTCCCTGTTGCCGATATCATTTGGCCATACTGGGGCTGCTTAAGGTTGAAACATCCTGTTTTGATGATGCCTCTTGCCTCTGTTATTGTCCTACATTGGTTCTAAGAGTTTTTTTTTTTTTTTTTTTTTGTTTTTTACTTTTTTTTGATTTTTTTTTTCATGTTTTTTGTGTGGGGTTCTGGTGCTAGATGTTGATTGTTCTGCTTCAGGCATGTTTACATGGTTTGGGCATGATTCCATATGATGAAATAATTGTTGGCTATGGATTAACTTCCTGTGAAGCCTTCTTTAGTCATAGTTACACTGATGGAGAATCATGTGTCATTTAATTGCACTTTCAAAGACAAATCTGATTTTCTGTTGAAATTTAGTAGTGTGTGGCAATCTCTTTTAGCTTTGGCATTGCATGTTTTAGAAATTTATCATTGCCCCTCCTGGACAGTCCATTGGAGCTAAAAATTTTCAATCACTTTTTAAACACTTAATTCCCAAGTTTTCCCTAAATGATGAATAGTTTTTTAGGAGCTATGGACTGATGTTCAGATGAGGCTTTTTGTCATAGTTACTCTGATAGGGAAAAAGTGGAGCTTCTTCCTAAGCCTTTGATACCCTGTGATATGAATGTGATGTTGATGGGTTAGCTATGTTTTGGATCCGTATGTTTGCCTGCCATTATAATTCACATAAAATTTGAAATGGCTAGGCCTAACAGAGTGAGAATGGTCTATCTTATGTGCATGTTATTATTTGGATGCAGTTTTTTAGTTGTCTGCTATAATTATTATCACTAGGTTCTGGTGTTTCTGCATTTGGTTTCTCAATCAAACTTTGTTTAGCACTTCACGGATTCTTGTTATTTGGCAGAACAAAGATGTAACAGAAGCAATTCAGAAGGTTGCTGCTGCTTATGACTGCAAAATTGTTGAAGGGGTTCTCAGTCATCAGCTTAAACAGTTTGTGATAGATGGAAACAAGTCATATTGAGTGTGGGTAATCCAGAGACGAGGGTTGATGATGCAGAATTTGAGGAGAATGAAGTTTATGCAATAGATATAGTCACAAGCACAGGTGATGGCAAGGTAATCATAAACCCTTCAGACATCATTTTATGTATTGTAATTTTATTTGTGTCCTGAGTTTTCGTGCTGTTAAATTTGCAGCCTAAGCTGTTGGATGAGAAACAAACGACTATTTATAAGAGAGCTGTGGACAAGAATTATCACTTGAAGATGAAGGCGTCTAGATTTATTTTTAGTGAAATTAATCAGAAATTTCCAATTATGCCATTTACTGCAAGGTTTTTCTTTCATTTTTTACTCCTTGAAGCTTTTTTTTTGGAGTGAAATGGTTCATTTCTCTCTTCTTGTGACCTTATATAAGACCTTCACCATAGGGCTTTAGAAGAGAAAAGGGCTCGCTTGGGACTTGTGGAATGCGTTAATCACGACCTATTGCAGCCATACCCTGTTCTTCACGAGAAGCCTGGTAAAATTTGGAAATTGATATGTGCATTTTGCTTGATTGCTGTTGGATTTGCATTTAACTGCAGTATATACTCAATGAAGTAAGATGTGTGTTTTTAGGTGATTATGTTGCTCATATCAAATTCACTGTATTGCTAATGCCAAACGGGTCAGATAGAATCACATCTCATTCTGCACAAGAGCTGCAACCTACTAAGACAGTAGATGATCCTGAAATCAAGGCCTGGTTGGCTTTGGGTACAAAAACAAAGAAGAAAGGTGGTGGGAAGAAGAAGAAAGGTAAGCAGTCACTTGCTGCAATCATGCTACTAGAGTTGTGTGAGCAAATCAATTGTGAGCCTTATTTGTCTTGTACATTGCCAGGTAAGAAGGGTGACAAACCTGAAGACTCGACTGAAGCCGAACCCATGGATGCGTCAACAAACGGTGGTGCATCCCAAGAATGACCCTAATGCCCCTTTCTTTGAAATTTTGGTATTTTGTTACTACCTTTGTATCTGGTTGTTTACGGGTTGAATTTAATATAGTGCTTAGACATTGATTCTATTTGGGATCTCCCTCCCCCCCCCCCCCCCCCCCCAAAAATGCCTTCCCATGTGATACCTGTGCTTGTATTATTTTGGGTTCATATGTTCGTTATAGACAAGCAAAAAGTTCAGCTCCATAAACTATTCTTGATAGGGAATAGGCCCAGCAGACCTGTCAAAAGTGATTTTGTTATGAGAACATCCTAAAATGCCTCAGGTTTTTGAAAATAATGTCTCAAACCTTGATTGAAGGTATAATTTTTTTTAAATGTATGGATGAAAAATAAGGTAGGTATCATAGATTTTATTTGGGATTTAAAAATATATTTTTTTTCAAAATTTCAGGTTTATGATGAAATATAAAAAAGTAAAAACATGTAGTTTTAAATGTCTTTACAAAGATATTTTTTTAAAAAAATATAATCTAAAGGGAATGTATTGAAGAAGCTCAATTTTTATTTTATTTTTTCCATTAGACTTAATAAATCATGTAATAATATTTGAATTAGTATATCAGACTTTGTGGGGATTAAGTTCTTCAAAAAATTTGAATTGAAGGTGTAAAAAAATAATCTTAAGAATTCATAATTCTGACATTTTCAACAGAATAAAATAGCTTCTTCAGTCACTGAAGTTAATTAATGTTAATTTAGTAAATAAACCTCCATAATCTCTTAGTTACAAAATAAATAATATAAATTTCATAATTTATACCAAACAATAGCCTTGACATGACTCAAATTATTGTGATAACTAACTACTTCATCAAAAATTGAATAAAAGAAATCATAAATCAAGAGTCCAAACAAATAAGCAATTTTTAGGAAATTGAATTAAAATTTTCATACAGATAAATGAAAATGGCTTTCTAATTCAAAATTTTGTTAAGTTGAATATTATTTTTATTCTTTTCTATTTTTTCCATTAATTAATGGTATATGTAAATTCTTTTCGAAAATATCTTTACACCTGTCGAGCATGTGAAAACAACGGAGAGCGGAAACCGGGACCCACATCGCATGCCAAACTATTTGCACTGGGCTCCCAGTCTCTTTCCCTAACCTTCCTCTCTTTCCATTCCCATTCCCATCCCCATCCCACCTCTAAAGCCCTAGCATCCCTCCCTACTCTCACCCTGCTTTCTATCAATGGCCAGCACTGCTACACCTAAGGATCCCGAGGACCGTCAAAACAGAGAAGACGAAGAGAATGCTCCTGGAGAAGACGAAGACACCGGAGCACAAGTCGCCCCGATTGTCAAGCTTGAAGAGGTCGCTGTCACCACTGGAGAGGAAGAGGAAGATCCTATTCTCGATCTGTGCGTCCTCTTCTACATTCTTGAATTTCTTCTTTTCCTCTTTCCTTTTACCCTTTGTTGATCAATTGTGTCGATTTTGTTTTTTCTTGTTCGTAGAAAAGCCAAGTTGTATCGATTTGATAAGGATGGTAATCAGTGGAAGGAGAGAGGAGTTGGTAGTGTGAAGCTTTTGAAGCACAAGGAGTCTGGCAAAGTTCGGCTTGTAATGCGCCAATCGAAGACTCTCAAGATCTGCGCTAATCATCTAGGTCTAACTTTTTAACCTTTTCTTTCCAAGTTTTACTTCGCTCAGTGCTTTGATTAAGGTCAAATACTGCAAGATAGAATCGGAAGATGTGTTGTATCAAGTGGGAGAATAACAAACTACGACCCCTATTTTTTTTTTTTTTTCCTTCGTAGTTAATTTTATTCAGTCTCTCTGTTTTTATGTTTGGTGAGGGACAACTTTTTTACATTTGTTAAATTGACCTTCGCAAGATTCGTTATGTTATATTTGCTGCTGCAGTTCTTCCTACAATGAAAGTGCAAGAGCATTCGGGCAACGAAAAATCATGCGTCTGGCACGCTACTGATTTCGCGGACGGGGAACTTAAGGATGAGCTTTTCTGTATCAGATTTGCCTCAGTTGAGAGTGAGTATTTGCTCTCTATTATCAGTTGCTTCTTGTCTTTCAGGGTTCTTACCCGATACTTTGACGTTGTTGAGTTTCCTATGATCTATACTCCTGGCTGATTATTTTGTATGTTTTTCCTGTGCAAGTTGTTTGAGCTGTTTATTAGCCTGTTTATGGTTGAAATTGATGAAAAACATTACCTATGATAGTAATAAAATTACCTCTTCATGGTGTGTTGGATTGGCTGTAAGTTATAGCTGTAAGAGAAATTTTCTCCTCTTAATGGTGTGGAAGTCACTCGGATTGGCTGTCAGTTATGGCTAATGGTTTGATTATAAGATCTAATGCATACTTTTGCTGTTGACTGCCTGTCAGTGTACTAATACTACATATGAACTAGTGCCAGAAACAAGTTTCAATAACTAGCATAAAAAATAAATAAATAAGAATAGTACTTTCGGTTGCATACCTTACAGCCTTAGATTTTGGACAAGGCAAGATTTTTCCATAACAAGATGAACCTTTTTTAAATTAGAGGTAAAATATCTGCTCAAAAAGAAAAGACTTGTGATTTACATTATATATTCTAGAACATTAAATTTTGTCTTTTTCTATAATTATATGATTTTTCTTCACATTTCTGTTCGTGGGTGCCTATTGAAGAGTTGTGGAGGACTATATTCCAATCAATGATACCATGCGAACCCAGTGATGGGGTTTCGGTGGGGGCAGGTGCCCCTACTGTAAATCTTAGATCATGGTGATTGGGTTTTACATACAGATAGCTAAATGTTTATTAATTCTTTTTGCAGGGAAAGATATTTTGAAGGTTACAAAAGTATAGCCCTATGTTTGAAATGAGTTCCATGAAGGATATTTTATAACTATCCCACCTACGGGAATCTTCTCAACATGAATTTCATATGAAAATGGGCCAATATACTTCAAACACTACTTGATTGAATTTGGAGAGAAATATGACAGTTTAGAGGAAAGAATTTTGCTGTGTTCTTACAATCTTGCTTATGTTTCCTAAATGTTGGATTCTGTGAAACTTAAAATCTAACTGAAAATAAACTTCTTTTATAAATAAATCACTTTTAGTTGTTCTACAAATAAAATGAAAATTTATTCTTCATTTTTCCAAAAGTACTCCAAAACCTTTATGTTAAAAATATCAAGTTTACCAACTATTCTTTCGCTGGAAGATTGATACTTCCATTTATCTTTACGAGGGTGTGGGTTCCAGCTTGAATATCCTTTTTGTATGTCCTTGTTAGGAGGTTGTTGTATTATTATTTGTGTTATTATTAGTGTGTATTAGAGATGTATGAATTTATAATCTAAAGAAAATATTATGTTTGTTCATATGAAGTATTTAGTCAATAAGTGCATATCAGTTTGTTGAAAGTGCAGGCTCAACCGATTTATGGGAACTGATGATATATGCAGTAGGCAATCTGGATCTTGGTCTGTTGAGTAGGTTATACTAATGTTATAACATGGAGAAACATTACCAAGAATAATCTGTGTTAAGTTGTACCTTTACATTGTGGCAATTGTGATTTGTAGCTTAATCAACTAATGATGTTTGCCTCAATTTTCTTTCCTCCAGATTGTAAAAGCTTCAAGGAAATGGTTCAGGAGGTTGCTGAAACGCAGGGGAAGAAAGAGGAAAGTGAAGATGCAAAAACTGCAGCTGGACTTCTTGAGAAGTTGAGTGTTGAAGATAGTAAGACCGACACGAAAGAAAAGGAAGAAGCACCTGTTGCTGTCGAGGGCAAAGAAAGTACAGCTGGAAAGGCAACAGAAACAGAGGAAAAAGAATGAGGGTGTTTGTGCAGAGTTAGAGAAATTTGCCTATGCTTAAGAAAGTTTGCCATATAGATAGAATTAGTGCTTTGTGTGCACAGTTGGGTGGATTATGTTAGACCTGCAGGCGGGGTGGTTTGATAGTTGGTCAGCTTGGGTTTGTATTTGACAATTTTCTGTTCATGATGTGAAGGGTGTTGTTTCATTGATTGCAGTTGGCCGTGAGCCCAATTACTCTTTCCTTTTTCGTCCACTTGTTACAGAGCCGATGCATGGAGAGGCAGCTGGTGCATGAAGAGGCAGTTAATTTCCGCCTTTTCTGATGCTTGGAGGAGTTAACCACAGCATGGTGGACATATCGAAACTGATTGAAATGACTGCAGTTAGGAGTTAACATGCATGGAGTGGGTGATCACCATTTAATTAGGTTAAAATAGTTAAATTATATAACTAATCTGGTCAAAATCCACACCCGTACCTATATGTGACTGGGTTAAAATTATTGACTCAAGACTAGTTTTAAAACTATTTCCTATCAACGTTTCTATAAAGGTGGATGATGTAACATATTAATCCTAGATCTTGGATTAACTTCTTCACTCTACATTATATGCGGAGAAAGAAATGGAGTAAGAGTTGGTTTCAAATTTTAATTATATGAAACAGGAATGAAAAGTTAATATAAATGAGGTAAAAATTTGGATGTTAAAATTAAGTTGGATGGTTTTTACTTTAACAAATAAGTATAATTTTATTGCATGAAATTAGTCTAATTGTTTAGCAAATACCTAATTTATGATTAAATTCTACATAATAAATAACTAAAAGTTAACATTTGAATAAGAATAGTAGAATTCAAGACATGAATGTAATTAATGAAAATCACGTATGAAGTTAAATCATATGCAGTGAATAATTAAAATTTAAGAATAGAATGATGGTATAGTGAAAGTCCCGAGGATATAACGAAAGCGAAGTTGCTCTTGAAGATCTGAGACATTGTACCAATTTTAGAGACTAATTACTAATATAAATTGAGCTAGAAGGAGGCTGGGAGCTAGTAGAAGATGTTGGAAGATTAGTTGAAGACAATGACAAAACTAACTTTGCAAATGGATCAGCAACCTGTTCAACTTGGACTACAAAATGAAATGGAAAACAATCTTCATGAAAATTCATCTTAAAAGACAAATAGTAGTTCTATGTGAAAATCATAATGTTTGTGTCCTTTCATACTAGGAGGATAACCAATATTCTAGCTCACGAATTGAACTTAGTTCCATAATTTTAAAAAAAAGTTGAAGCATAAGAAAGGCAACCAAAAGATCTTAAAATTGCATAATTCACAGCCCCATTGTATAGCAATTTACAAGGACTCATGTTATTTAGAATAGGAGCTAGAGTACGATTGATAAGATAAGCTGTAGTGACTACACATTCACTCCAGGATATAAGTGGATGTCTTGACTGAAAAGACAAAGTTCTCACTCCATTTAATGTATGCTGATGCTTCCTTTCCACTACTGAGCTTTGTTGAGGTAATCTCTACACAATAAAACTAGAGAATCACTACCTTTTTACTAAAGAACTCAGTGAAAAGTAATTCTTTTGCATTATGTGACCTAGAAGTCTTAATCGTAGTACTAAATTGATTCTCAATCATGGCAAAAAAATTTAGAATAGCAAAAGAGACATCGACTTTGCTTTTGAGCAAAAATACCCTTGTATACCTTGTGCAATCATCAATAATTTCTAAGAGGAATCTATGTGCAGCATGAGAATGTACATGAAATGGAGCCCAGATGTCTGTGTGTAACAAGATCAAAGGGTCTTTTTGAGATATTATACATGAAATAAAGTATAAATTTGTTTGTTTTTTGTGAAAGACAGATACAACAAAACTTATTAAGAGATTGAACTTCATCCAAATTGAGATACGGCTTCAGCAAAGCTAACTTTTTAATAGATCGATGTCCCAGTCAATTATGCCTAGGTTTGAACAGAAACATGTGAAACTAAAGAAACAGAGGACTTATTCATTATTGGTTCCTCATTCAAGACATAGAGTCTTGAAATTTTTCAACCTTGCTAATGCATCTTCTTGCTGTTGCATTCCTGAATCAGACAATGGCCAGGAAAGAAGCTGATTATCAAAGATGAATCAACTGTGAGAGCAGCCGTAAATATCAAATTATATTTGAACTGTGGGACAAATAGGACATCTTTGAACTTTATTAATTTGATGAATTGTGATTACAACTTAAGGATTAAGATCCTTATACAAACCTTTATTTTCTAATCTGACTCGTAATAGGATTACAGAATTCTACTTGAATTCTTAAACATTAATTTTACTAGGGAATCTTTGAGAATAAGCTTTAAAGTATCCTAAAATCACCTAATAATGCTGCTGTAGTTTTCATATTGTTAGGTAAAGCAATAGAGGTGCCTTGTATAGGTCTCGGAAAAGTAAATTGATAAGCCTTTCAACAGATATGTTTTAAAGCCCCTGATTTTATAATCCAAGCTTTCATGGAATTTAAGGCTAGATGTAGAGAAAAGGAAAAATATGTACCTGCTGCATAAGAGGTAGAGCAATCTGATTTTTCATTCCTTGACTTCCTATATGCAAGTAAATGGCTAGAAAACAAGCTCGTTAGTTGCTGATATTGAGCTGTATTCATATTCTGAATAGACCTATCAACTCCATGTTCTGATTTATTTACATACTATGAATTAGTAAGTGGCTAAGATTGAGATGGGACTTGATTAACACTAATTGCTTTCTGTTTCTGTTTATACCCGAGAGGAAAGCCATACAATATATAACATTTCCCAATAGTATGTCCATGAAATTTGTAGTATATGCAAAACGACCTATCTTTCTTCTAAAATCTATGATTCAAAAATGTATTGTTCTTTTTGTTGTCTGTTTTTAACTAAAAGTCACCTCATTTTCAGAGGTTCTCATATTAACAGTGCATTGTCGTTCTTATTGAGTAACAAGAGAAAATACTTTGTTAATGGAGGGTAGTGGATCTATCAGAAGCAATTGTGTCCTGATCTCTGCAAAGGAGTTACTAAGACCCATCAAGAATGACATTATGTATTCGATATGAAATTATGAGTTTTATTATGCAATTCCTTTGCAAGTGTATCTTCCTCAGGTACAAGCAAACATGAAGTTACTAAGCTCTTCGCACAAAGCCTTCAGCTTTTTGAAGTAAATGCTCACAGAACTTTGATTCTACATATGGTTGATTAATTTGCACTTTAGTTGAAAAATCCTTGGGCCATTGCTTTATTGAAACCTGTCTTTTAAGTCACTCCAAATTTCCATTGCTGAATCGAAGAATATTACACTTAGAGAAATATATTCCAAGATCGAGTTTAAAATCCAATAAATAATAGTCATTCCTTATTAGGTAAGAACGCGTCTGATTCATCCAGTCTTGGAATCAATTCACTGATAAATCTAATATTGTTCTTTGTTAACAGTGCTATTACGATTGCGTAGCTCTATGAGGTGTAACTATCACGTCTCAGTTACTATGAGACAAGAAAGAGGTAAGGACTATAAGAATGGTAAAGGAAATAAGGACTTAATGAGGTGGATTTGTTGACTATGAATCTTTCTTTAAATAAAGATTGCTACAGGTCTCTAAAAAATCAACACTAGTTGCTGAAAATATGTTAAATTTTTTTGTTTTGGAACATATATAATCAGCAAATCTAATTTACTGTTTATGTTGACTTGTTAACAGCTCTACCTTAAGTTCATTTTGTATATAAAGAGTTGGATGAATGCTGAAAATTATACCAAAATTTTCTAGCAAATTCTCATTCTTTCTTCCTTGTATTTTGCTCTCTATTTTTCTTAACCTTCTTAACCTCTCACTCAATTTTTCCATGAGCCTCAATAATGGTATCGGAGCAGTTTCTTTAAGGGACTGTATGCCTCATTCCAGCAAAAAAAAAAAGCTTCAAATGTCAACTTACCAGCTCCATCAATATTTATGGGGAAAATTATAATTATTTGGTGGCGAGAATGGGAAGCTTATCTTCTTACTTATGATTTATATAGCGTTGTGGAGGAGTGGTATGTAAAAGTTCTATTGTCTGAGAATCCCACCTTACCACAGATTAGGCAAGACGTAGAAGGGTCAATGAGGAATTTTAAAGGTCTTTCAATTTTTTATTCTGCAGTTCTGAAGACATATTCCTAAGGCTGGTGGCCTTTAAAACAACCAAGAAAACTTGAGAGGGAAGAATATGCTGGATGTACTAAAGTGAGAGGTTCAAAATTGCTGACTAAAAAGAGAATTTGAGCTGTTGAGAATGGAGGAGGGAGAAAATGTTAAAGAGTATTTTAGAAGAGTTATGAATTTTGTTAATCAAATAAGGCTGCTTGTAGGAGAATTCAAAAATCAGAGAGTGGTTGAAAAAATGACTTTCCTGAGAAGTTTGAATCAAAACTGTCTGTGATTGAAGAAACATTTGATGTTGAGAAACTTACTGTTGTTAAACTTATTAGTAAGTTACAATCTTAGAAACATAAGGTTTTAATAAGAAATGATGGGATTACTGAGAGTGCTTTCAAGCAAGGTCAAGGAATAAGTTTGGGACCTAACTTCAAAAGATGAAGGTTAGTTGATGTGATCCTAGATATAGGAAAACAAAAAATCCTGGAGGGATAAGAAAGGCATGCTCACAGGTAGGGAGTTACTCGCACTCACAAGCACACCTGCGAGGAGCGCAAGGGAGATAATCGCTTGCGCATGAAGACAACGTGGACACCGGAATAAGGATTCCTTCTCCCGCAAGGATTCCCGCAAATCCAACTTCAACAAGGATTGAAATTTTGGTCCAAGAATCATTCCTCCACCAGCCCAACACCAAAATCAAGATTCAAAATTTAAGATTCAAGAATCAAGAATCAAGATTTAAGATTCAAAAAGATATGTGGCCAAGGGAAAGAGAGGAAGATGTGAGTTCAATATGGAATCCTCTTTGGATTTTATGATACAAGAATTAAAGAAGAAAAAAGAAACATCAAGGGAGAAGGATTTCTTCTCCTATTCAAAGTCCTCATTGGAATTCTACTTAAAGAAGGACATCCAAGACCAAGAGGAATACAACAATCGACCATTAAGAGAGGAAGCTTAATTTAGATTTAATTTATTTTCTTTTATTAAGTATTTTAAATTTTCATAG